ACTGCCATCTCTTATCGTAAAATCTAACTATTTCCTGTTATTGATTATTTATTATAGTTTCATATCATGATAATAGATGGCGAGTCTGTGGTCTTTTTTTATTAATTTCAATAATAGTGGTACAAAGATATTCATTAACTGTAATTATAGTATCATTAATCACTAATTTACTTACTATTTTCTGATTTTGCTGAAGAAGAAGTTAATGTATTTCTAACCGTTCGAAGCCTGTAAATAAAATGTTTTGTTTTTTGTCAACCGTCTTCATTTTTATTATTGAAGAATTGCAGTTCCTTTTTATACTTTTTTCTAAAATAATATTATTTAGGTAAATTAAAACTTCTATGTGAAATTTAAACTTGTAATATGAAAAGCCTGTGGTGTTAAACTTATATAATTATTGTATATATATTTATTGATGGTAAAATGTTCCCGAGAAGGAAAAATATCTTTTTCTTTTAATTATCTGACATTTTGTGATTGTAATACTGACGTTTGAGCACGTGGTTTGCAAGATGGTGTAAATTGAGAATTGCATCATTTAGACTGAATTTTTGTATTTATGTTGAATTAAGCTCTTTAATTAGGAAAGCTGTGGCGTACAAATGTGTCAAAAAAAAATGTCTGTTCTATTTTGTTGAAAGAACATATTGGAGAAGTCGTTCAAAACATTGGAGCATGTTTGATGAAGAACGGTTATTTGCCATTACTGTAGCTGACTTAGTTATTAAATCAGATTATTGATTCGAAGCTTCCGCTATCAAAAGGTAAGAAGAAAATATTGGTCTTATTTTAAAGTTATATTTTGTGGTGTATTAAGAGTGACTGAAGCTTTTAATGGTGCTTGAGCTTTTTGTTCTTAGTAATTTAGTTCCTTTTGAAAACGTTGCCAAAAGTTTCGTGCTATTCATTATACAGTTTACAAAAAAAATCAAGTCCAGTGTCTCTTACACAAGCTACAAATACAAACCACATTTATGTTAGGTATCTGTTTATAGCATTATCGCTGAAACCCGAAAATGACACTTGTAGGATAGTACTAGGACCATTATAACTTATCTTACATCAATGATCAAGAAATATGAATATTCTTCGTAATTAATAGTAATAAGGTAGTAGTAAAAATCTGTAAGTAAAAAGTGAAAAACTTATTGCACTGACAGCCTTTATTATTGTATAAAAACTATGTATTATATTCTTAGAGTACACTATGGTTTTTATACATGTGGATCTCACGAGAGATGAGAAAGTCCAGCACATGGCCTGAAGCTATATGTAAATTAAAATTTAACCAAGCTTTAATAAGTTTGGTTTATGTTAATTAAGTAACCATGTAGAAAGTGTATATGTACTAATAATGTAGCTACAAATACAGCTACTTGATAGTAATGATATTTATTATAGTATTGTATTTTTGATGGTAAAATTACATCTTTGTCTTAGGTCACAGTCCACTGTCACTGTCAGGACGTCCAGTTTACTGGACCAACAAATAAAATAATGTTGTCATCTTAGGTCACAATTTACTGTCAGAATAACTAGTTCACTGGGTCAGCCTGTAAGATTAGGTCATTGTCCTAGGTAATGATACATTATTAGAATGTCCAGTTCACTGGACCAGCAAGTAAAACTTAGTCATCATCCTAGGTCACAATCCTCTTTCAGAATGTTCAGTTTAATGACCCAGTGAGTGTAAGCTTGGCTGTTATCAAAATGTTCCTTTTATCATCATATGTAAGGTATCAGGTAAAATTAAGAAATTTGTGGCTACATAACTGTGCCTGATTTTATTTTCTTTAAAAAAGCAACAAAAAAGGTTTAGTATGGAAAGGTTGTTGTTGTACACATTAAATGTTAATCAAGCACAAAGATAAAAGTTTCTGTTTTCTCCAACAGTGTTATGGTATGTTTTAAATAAGTTTGTGGCTCCAGTGGAAAGTAATTGAATTTTTACCTGTTTACATATTTTTAACAATGACATCCCTGTTTGAAAATCAAAAAACCAGATTCATGCATGGAAAATAGGGTTTGCAAAAATATATTTTATTTAATATGACTTATACAAGTTACATCCAACTGACCATTTTTTATGATGGAATTTGTTTTAAGACATAACATTTTACTAAGCCTCTTTATAATCATAGCAAATTTATTATTTTTTAAACATAATCATTGTCAGTTGTATATATGAACTTTAAAAAAAGACCATTATATTGAAATACCACGATGGGATAGTTTTGAGTTTGTGCATTTAAGCATACATTTACTTTTAGAAAACATTATTCTGTAGTTTTGTCATAAAATAAAAGTTATTGCTGACTGGAAAGTCCAATAGTGTTCTTTACAGAAATGGTACTTGACTGAAGCAGTCAGTGGGTGTACAAAAACAGTTTTTGTATGATTAACAGGTTACTAAACGTTTTATTGAAAACCAGATTGACAAATAAGAAGTATGTGCCTCCTGCCCACTACCCCACCAGTGATGTGGTAAATAAAAGGATACTAAGGACGTTTTCTTACAACATCAAAAATATCAGCAGTACAAAACAGTTTTTCTTAATTTTACCCAGAAGAGCAGTTTAAAATGTCGTTGTCAGCTGGTGCTTTAAGAAATATTGTCAGATACTTTTTAAAAAATGGGGGGGAGGGGGTAATTATTTTCATTCCAGTATAGAGGATTGAAATAAATATTTGTTTGACAACAAGTTATAAAACTCCAATAAAGATTTAATACTTGGATGGTATATAAAAAAAAATGTTGATAATATTTTATAGTATTAACAGGTCTGAACTTTTTAAATTCAGTGATTGATACAAAACAGTTATAATTTAATCTAAAAGATATACTGTAATTTTTTAATTAAAAATTCCTCTTATGTCAGACTTAACTGTGACATGCATGTCTCTGGATGTAGTCCAGCAGTTGTAATGTTTGAATAGCATTTTTTGATTAAAACATTTATTTAACTAAATAATTGTCTTCAACTTTTTTATAATTGTTGTACATGGAATTTTACAAAAATATAAATTTGAATACAGTTGTAATTGTTTGTAGTTAAGCACAAAGCTATACAGAGAGCTATCTGTTCTCTGCCCAGCATGAGTATTGAAACCAGGTTTCTAGCATTGCAAGTCCCCAGAGGTAACGCTGTGCCACTGGGGGGGGGGGGGCTTTTTAATAAAAGTACTAGAAAATTACAAAACCGTTCAAAGTCAAATCAAATAGAAATTGTAAAATCGGGACAGTTATCTTCACTGTAAATTTTACTAATTCCTTTGGATTTAATTTGGTTTTAATTTGATTTCATCTGAAGTATACGGCGTTGCAAACTAAATTATTATATATTGCAACTAAAAACTAAATCTGAATAACAGTCATTTCATTATCAGCCTAATAAAAGAAATATTTATAATTCTGTTCATATATTATGGCAAAAATAATTACAAGACGGAATTAGTTCTGAATAACGGTATTTCTAGAAAGTATTTTAGATATTTAAATATATTTGAAATAAAAATAAATGCAAAATAAAAAGTTATTATTAAATATTAATATTTATCAAAGCTATTTTAAACAAATATTTACATATAGTGGAAATAAATGTAAAATAATTTGCTAGAAATAATATTAGGTCTGCATATTATCATTTATGAAAAGTATTTTAAATAAATATCGTTAAAAAGAACTGGTTTAGTTTAAATATTTTCTCTTGTAGTTGTTTGGATGCTAAAGAATCGGATGGCACTAAAAACAAAGCCTATTATACAGAAAACTATTTTGCCTTTATAATAAAAATGAAGACGGTTGACAAAAAACAAAACATTTTATTTACAAGGTTCGAACGGTTAGAAATACATTTACTTCTTCTTCAGCAAAATCAGAAAATAGTAAGTAAATTAGTGATTAATGATATTATAATTGTAGTTAATGAATATCTTTGTAACACTATTTTCTTGCTAATGTTCATTGAAATTAATAAATAAAGACCACAGACTCGCCATCTATTATCACGATATGACATTATAATAAATAACCAATAACAAGAAATAGTTAGATTTTACGATAAGAGATGGCAGTAAATGCTTTCTGATTTCGTTAAAGTTAGGTTTTTGGTCAAGAGATGGCGGTGATGCTGATCCGAAATTTTTGTCAACCGTCTTCATTTTTATTATTGAAGAATTGCAGTTCCTTTATATACTTTTTTCTAAAATTTTATTATTTAGGTAAATTAAAACTTCTACGTGAAATTTATACTTGTAATATGAAAAGCCTGTGATGTTAAACTTATATAATTATTGTATATATTTATTGATGGTAAAATGTTCCCGAGAAGGAAAAATATCTTTTTCTTTTAATTATCTGCCATTTTGTGATTGTGGTTTGCAAGATGGTGTAAAGTGAGAATTCATCATTTAGACTGAATTTTTGTATTTATGTTCAATCAAGCTCTTTAATTAGGAAAGCTGTAACATACAAATGTGTCAAACAAATAACAATTTCTGTTCTATTTTGTTGAAAGAACATTTTAGAGAAGTCGTTCAAAACATTGGAGCACGTTTGATAAAGAAAGGTTCTTTGCCATTACAGTTGCTGACTTAGTGATTAAATCAGATTATTGATTCGAAGCTTCCGTTATCAAAAGGTAAGATGAAAATATTGGTCTTATTTTAAAGTTATATTTTGTGGTTTATTTAGAGTCACTGAAGCTTTTAATGGTACTTTAACTTTTTGTTCTTAGTAATTTAGTTCCTTTTGAAAACGTTACCAAAAGTTTCGTGCTATTCATTATACAGTTTACAGAAAATCAAGTCCAGTGTATGTTACACAAGTTACAAATACAAACCACATTTATGTTAGGTATCAATTTATAGCCTTATTGCTGAAACCCGAAAATGACACTTGTAGGTCTTATTACTATTAATTACGAAGAATATTCATATTTCTTGATCATTGATGTAAGATAAGTTATGATGGTCCTAGTACTAGTAGTAGTAAAAATCTGTAAGTAAAAAGTGAACAACTTATTTTACTGACAGCCTTTATTTATTATTGTATGAAAACTATGTATTATATTTTTAGAGTACACTATGGTTTTTATACATGTGGATCTCACCAGAAATGAGAAAGCCCAGCACATGGCCTAAAGCTATATGTAAATTAAAATTTAACCAAGCTTTAATAAGTTTGGTTTATGTTAAT